GACGCGACCGAGTCATCACGGGGAGATCTCGTCTCGTCGCGAAGGCGTTGTTGTCGCCGATGGAGATTTCCGCCGCGGAAAGACTGCGTCACGAAGCTGTTGTCGTCAGCGAATGAAGCTTCGTCGTTGGCAGCGAACGTTGCTTCGCCGGGGTGATAAACGTCGTCGAGATCCATGTCGTCGGAAGATCCACGTCGCCGGAAGTTCGGTTTGCCAAATCGGAAGATGAAGATGACGACACTGACCATCACAATTTGAGGCCTGACGAAGTCGATAACGGCGAGAGAAGCAGCGACGGGTCGAGGAGAGTCATCAACGTCGGCGGTTATGGTCGACAGTCGAACAAAAACAAAAAAAAAGAAAAAAAAACGACAAAAACGTGAAAACAATAAAATAAAGAGGCGGAGAGTTTATTTTTTACTTTTGGCTGAGGGAAGGTGATTTGGTAGAAAATAATACCCTAGAAGCAGACTTATTTATACTTGGAGGATTTCCTAAAATCACTTTCTTTTTGGGAAAAATTTCTGAAATCACCCAACAGGCTTGAAGGCCCACTAACACAAAAGGCCATCAACTTCCTCAGTCTTTTAAGACAAAGCAAAAGAAGACAAGTCCGGAAAAACACGCAGATATCGGCTCGATGCGGAATAGCAGAAACTTCCCGAGTTCGATGACAAGATGTTCACGCCTAGCGACTTCGCAGCCCAAYATATCGATCCCAGAATTCGACAACTTTTACCTCGGCACCATCATAACTCAAATACTGCCAAGCTAGGGGGCTAACTGTGGGGGTCGGATTTCACCCCTATGAGATCGATATGGCGATGAGATCAACTCCACAACGTCTTGACGAAATCAAAGCAAGTCTACAAAGGCCCAGTCTGAATCTAGGCCCAAAATGATATTAAATCCATAARCAAAATGGGCTTAATTGAATAATGGGCCTAAATTAGATATATTRCTTAATGGGMCAGRTCTATTTTATTAGCTGGCCYATTTACTTAGAARTACTATATATAGTCCCTCATTATCACCCAAAAAGGGGATCGGAATTCATTAGCAAAAAACTCTTGTAACAGCTTTCTTCACAGCTAATAAAAACTCTCTTGAGATCTTTGTGTTTGCTTGCTTTCGACAGAACTTTACAAACCCTAAAGAATCACTTAGATTCTAATTGTGAGATTTGACCGCCACAACCATCTTAAGATTATTGTCTTATATATGAATCTTTTCCTAATGAGTAATGACAATCTTTTTAAAATGCCATTTTTGAAATATCACTTTTTAAGACTATCAATTTTTTTCAAAATCTTTGCAAA